CGTAGCAGGTCGTTGACCGCTTCCTCTTGGATTATGGGGGGTTCATCCTGCTCGCCATCTCTGTCTTCCAGCTCAGGGGGCTGAGTACCCTGAGGATAACTGGTCTGAGGGGCTGCCCTAGGGGGGCTGCAGATGCTTCCTCAGCAAGGGGTGCTGGGTTGTGGGGCTGCTGAATTGCAGTGGGGAATGCTTTAAGCACACTGACTCATAGGAGTTGGTGCCTGGCGTTACCATAGAAATCGGATCAGCTGCTACGGGTGGGGAGTCCTTGTCCCTTGGCTCTGCTGCTGCGTGGTTCCAGCATGAGCTCATGGTGCAAGGTAACCTGATTTCTTGCTCCTTGTCCCTTCAAGATCAGAGGAGGTCAGGCAGCTCTCGCGGCCTTCACCGGAGGGCAGGAAATAATTTTGTTTGGGTCTCTGTTTGGCTGCAGTGGTCAGACCCTGTGTGTTTGCTGTGCTCTCTTGGTGATCTGCTGCCCATATATGTCTTGCTCTTTCATATTTTGGGAAACTTCCTTCATTTGCTTAGCAATAGCTCCCAGCCCTTTGGGAGCCCCAGAGAGGTGAAAACTGGTTGTAAACTGGTGAGTAGAAGATGAGGGAGGACAGGAAGCAAGAAGCGTGATCCAGAGGGAGGGGACAAACACTGAATATCCAATTTCCTGTACTCTGAAAATGCATCCCCAAGCTTGGTCACAAGTGTTGCCCCAAGCATGGATGTGACACCTTCCGATGCTCAGTCTCTCACAGTTTTTGTCCTCTATGCTCACATCCGAGTAACTGTTTCATCATCTTCTCTGGATAAATATACACATTCAAGCTCTAGGGATAGAAGATGCAACACATTGTTGCCCCCCTCCATTCTGCTAAAGGAAATAACTTTACTGTGAATATAATCTTTCCACACAAAGGCGTTGTGCCTCCTTAGATCATCTGTGAACCCTTTGCTCTCCTCGTAATGCAAAACAAGCACAAGCCTGTCTGAGAAGCAGTGTTACAAGAGTCTTGTTGATGCAAGGTGTCATTTTGTTTTGCTACAGTTCCTCTTGGCTTGCTGCCTGTTGTCCATGTGGTCTGTGTGAGCAATCCAGATCTATGTACTTGTCCTTTCCAGTGTTTCCTTGCTTATTTCCAGGACATTGGCATTAGAGGATAACAGCTGTTTTCTAGGGGGTCATCCCTACGAACTGGTACCCTTAGGAGGTGCTGTATGCTGTGCTAGCTCAGTCCTGGGTTTGACATATCTTCTGCTCCAGGTGAGAGTGAGAAATATTTGCAAGCAACAGCAAACATACCGAGCTGTCTGTTTCTTGGGCCCTCTTAATTCCTTGGTCTCCTGAGTATTATGGCATGCTTTGTGAAAAATACTCATTCTAGCAATATGGCTTTAAGTTAAAGAGGTTATTCCTTGCTCTCATGTAGGAGAAAGGATTTGCTGGGTGATGCTGAAAGGAGATGAAGATTGCATGTGTATTGTTCTCCCTGTCTTACTAGCTCAGCCTACAAAATCCTGTTTTAAGAAGCTGTTCACTTCTGTATTCAGATCCCAGCACACTGAAGCACCCACTTCAGTGTTGTTGAGAGCTCTGGCCCTGCCTTATGGGGAGAAGGGGGGGTGATTCGTGGGAAAGCTTCCAGCACTGGGCCAACTGTGGAAACAGCTGGGCTTTGTGCCAGCCCTTCAGAGGGAGGGGGAGCTCAGAGCTGGTACAGTGAGTGTGTCAGGCAGGGGCTGGTGTAGCCTGTCGCCTTCCTCAGTGTCTTGCCACTGCTCCTGTTTCAGGGGAGAAACTACTCTGGACAGGGCTGTGGTCAAGCAGAGACTCGCTGAGAGGGTTGGTACAGGCTCCTGATGGCTTTTGGTAGCAGTTGGCACGAAAGAATCTGACATATGTCTGACATATGTCAGTGCTCCTGGCTTGGAGGAGGAGGAGGAGGAGTTCCTGCCTGTGTTAAGGGGGAGGGGAAGTATGATCTCTGGATAAGTAAAGATAAGGGAGGATTTGAGGAAAATCAGTGAGAAGAGGAAGAGCCTATATGGGGAGGTAAACTTGCGATGTCTGTGTCTCACCTAGCAATCTCTGCAGTCCTCATTCTAGACGCTGCAAAATAAACTGCGGTATTTGGGGACCATGGCTACAGACCCACTCTCGGAGCTTCAGGATGACCTGAACTTGGATGATACCAACCAGTCCCTCAGCCAGCTCAAACTGGCCTCCATAGATGATAAGAGCTGGCCAGCAGATGAAGCCCCTGCTTTTCCCAGATCAGGTAAGTATCCTGCTTGTCTGGGGTCTGGGTTTTGGCCAAAAAGGAATTGTTTGTCCTGCAGCATTGTGGTCATATCTACATATACAGAGAGCCCCAGCTCCATTTGAAAACTTTATAGACACATTAATCTTGCACCGCACCCAAGTGAATTAGCCCTGCTATTGAACAGCACTAAAAAGCTCAGAGCCAGCTGATGTAAATATACTCTTCTCAGTCCTGTGGCTGGCTGCACTTTGGTGCTGACAGTACAGACATGCTGTAAGTCCTTGAGTGCCCTCTGTTATGGTCTCTTGCAGGATAGTTTGGCCTTCCTGAGTGGAAGGGTCTTGAACTTCCATGTGGGAGGTGGGGCTGGAGATCTGAGTTGTTGCTGTGAAATCCTGTCCAAAGAGGTCAGGGAAATTAGCTCAAGGGCATATAGGATGGCCATCCATCAAGGGACGATGTTAAGATCCTCCTGCTCTAAAAAGCCATGACGGTGCCCTTGGCACTTGGGTTTTGGTCTTTGTGAATGTTTGTGACGTATCTGAACAGTCATTTTTGAGAGGGTGTACAGTCTGAGGAACACGTATGGACCTCATAGGATTGACAGGTCTCTTCTGAGTCATTGCTGCTCTTGCCCCCTCAGAATTTCAAAGGTGGGTTTCCGAGGTGGATGGGTGCATACATTAGTCCCTCCCATGTTGAAGAGCCATTTTTTCCTCATCCCTCTATCTCTGTCGCTCTATCCCTCTATCGCTAAGGTGCTCCAGATCCATTCTTCTAATTGCTTGTTCCTTGTGTTTTGTGCAGAGGACTCCAAAGGCTCCCCTGAGCCCATCACTCACCTGCGGTGGGATGATCCCTACTATGATATCGCCAGGCACCACATTGTGGAAGTAGCAGGTAGTGGTCTTTCTGTTTTCCCCTTTGATGTCTTTGCAGCTGGGCTGAGGAAGGGTCTTTCTAATGGGGTTGTGGGGGCATCTGCTATATGCTAGGCCCAAGTGGCCATGGCAGCTGGCATTGTAAAGAGAAGGAGCACCAAACTTCTTGAATGTTCGCAATATGTGTAGTTTTCTGTTGACCTCAGTTAAACTTGCATTCCTTCTTGGCTCTCACTGTCTTGATTATATTATTAGCAGGACTTGGTTGCTTTTGCTGAATTGTTTTAGATGTGGCCCTTGACTATATCCTGAGCACAAGATGTGTTTTTTGCATGATAATGCCACAGAAATTACCTAGTTATGCAGTACAGCTGCAAGGTCCTCAGCTGACTGAGTAATCCACAGTAGGTCTGGTAGCTCTCTCATATCTGAATGGCCAGAGCTTGCTATCCTGTCCAGAAACAACGTTTACAGAAGTCTGAAATAGGGTGAATAGGCCCATGGCTCACTGCAAGGAAAGACCTGATCATTCAGGGTCACAAGCATTCGGATTTTCTCTGTAAACTAATATCCCTATTATTTTAATTACACTAACCCTCGGCGATTTAGTGATGGGACCTCCATAAGAAAGAGTTTTGGGGGTAGTTTTTAGGTAGCTGCGGTAAGTCTGAGGGAAGGGTAATCCCAGTTTGTCTTGCATTCCTTGTTTAAAAAAAAAAGCTCCTCTTCAACCTGTTGTGACTTGATTCACACTTCCTCCTTGATTATCTGTAGCCACCTCCTACCCCTCCTATTGCCATTTCTCTGTGCCTTGGTCCCTGCCCCACATGTGAGTTTGCAGCAAAGCAGAGGCACAAGCTGGAGTCCTCCTGATTCAGGGTTGTTCTGCAGCAGGGTTTGACCACAGAGGGAAGATTCTCAGGCACTTACCTTGGTAAGAGTTGTCCTGACATTGTTCTTTTCTGGACTGTCTTCTAGAATGAGCTTTCTTTCTCCTAACCTCTCATGTAACAGCTTTTGGGGAACAAAACGATAATGGCAAACTCAAAACTTTGTTGTCCTTTGTCTCCTGCGTGCCTCTGGCTGCTCAGGTTGACAGGCCGGGTGTTTAGCATTTGGGCCATTATGTCTTGTAGATTTGCCACAAGTGCTTTCATTTGCAAATGTGTTACTAACCTTCTTTCCCATGGGGTTGGAGTTTCAGGACTGGGGTTTATAGAGGTCTGCACCCTGGTCTCCCTACTGCTGAAACTGGGAAGGGACAGATGTGTGGACCCCACCATTTCAGTGATAATAGCTAGAATATCTGGAATGCGAATGGCAGAGGTAACTGGTGTTTCTGGACTCTGGGAGCTGGTGAGTTAAATGATACTGTTGTTCACTTCAGACAAAGCTTCAGACAAAGTGCTTAGCAGAGACTTTAGATCAGAGACATTGATAAGACTGGAATGTCAGCCCAAACCAAGGATATACTTTGTGTGCTGCCTCCTGACATAAGCAACAGTCTTTCTGCGGGATTTCTGTTCCGAGGTAACATGATATTTTTTTTTCCCAAGCTCTCTGAATAGAGTATCATTCCAGTGGAGGTGTGTCTCAGTGGCTGTTGGAATGCAGCCATTTGACACGTTGTCTAGTTTAGCAAATGAAGAATTATCTAACTTCCTGAAAGGATTTTCTGGTGGTATGATGGCTGACTGGGAGGCGTGCCTGCATTCTGAAAGAGATCTCTTCCCCGTCGTGGTTTAAATTTGTGTTTCTAGTGAGCTCTCTGTTCCTGTTGTGTCTCTGTATGGTGCAGAAGCAGCTCAGAGGAGCTTCTGTTGTTGGCTGCTCCTGGCCAATTTTCACCAGTAGCTGGTTTATCTGAAAGCCTGTGATGGTCCCACACACAGAATGTGGTGCAATGCCTTTCTTGGCATTGGAAGAGCTAGTAGCACAGCTCCAGATACTGGATTTGCTGCCCCATAGTTTTGAAACTTGCTGGTGTCTCATCTCCTGGAAGCAGGATTTATGAAGTTGATCAAAGGGGCCTGAGTTGTAATCTGGGCTCTGGGGTGAAGCTGTTCAGTTTTCTTGGTCAATAATTAATCATGTTAACTGTTTGGAGAATCAGCCAGGGTAATGTTCTCTGGGCTGTTGTTGGAGGCAAACAATCTGGGAAAATCTGGAAAAATCCTATTAGAAGTAGCCTGGAGAATCAAAATCTCACTGGAGGATTAATATGGAACTGTTTGGATCTGGCTCTACTGACAAGTTGTGCTTGTCATCACCCTCAGGTGCAATGAACGCTCGCCATGCTGAGCCTGAAACAAAATAGTTCCACCCCGGTTCTCTTGTAAATATTAGCAAATGGCAGCAGATCAAGGGTAGTTTTATCCATTCTGCTGATTTATGAGCTTTCTCTTCCGTGTCCTTCCCTGTTCTGCACTTCAGAGCAGGAAGCATACGGCTAACTCTGTTCCTCCCTTCCCTGAAATATATTCTGGGATGATGATGCTATTTTGAGACAAAAACAGAAGGCTGGTTCCCATCCTCAGGCTGAACTCCATGATCCCAGGGTTATCCTGTGTGGTCAGAAAAGTAATTGCTTCTTGCGGGATGGATGCATGGTGTTAATAACTTACTAAAAGCCCAGTTTTGATGACAAAAAGTTAGCGCACTCATTTTCTAGCTGACCTCAATTTCTGATTCAGTTCAAGGCACGCTGGATTTGAATATTCTGGCTATCTGGCCTAAAGAGGGAAAACTATATTGAAAAACATTCTGCAGAATTTGCTAGGAAAATAAGGGGTTTGGTTTTGGTTTTCACTTAAAAATAGTGCAGCAGTTTCATGGAGACTCTCCTTTGTGCCCTATGCTCCTGTCTCTTCTGGGGACTGGAATCTTCCTGGAAGAGGCTGTCCATGGGGAAGGAGCAGGCATGTCATTGCTGTCCCGTGTGGTGGTGTGTCACAGGAAGATGGCAGCAAAAGGCATCCAGGCCACAGTTCCAAGGGAGTACCATGGCATTGTTATGAATCAGAATATTTTAGTTTTGGGAAACCTTTTGGTTCTGGGATTCAATGCTTTTCTGAAGGAAAGAGATGATACTCTGCCTGTCCTTTCAGACCTGCCTTAAGGTGTGTGTTTCTGGAGTGTTTTACGCAGGCTCCTGAGAGGTCTCTGTGTGGTTATGCTCTTCTTGACTCCGAGTTCCTCTTTTTGTGACCATTATAGCAGAGAAATTCATCTTTACACATGGCTAGAAGTTGGAGCAGAGGTGGCTCGATTTCACCGCACAAACCACTTCTGCAAAGTGTGGGTTTTTTCTTTGCGTTTGGAGGAAACGCAGGCTTCTGGTTGAAGGCTGTTGAGGAACTATCCCAAATTTCTGTTTAAGAGTTTCTGTATCCTCCTGCTAACTCTTATATGGCAAAGGTGCTGCTTCCATCTCCTTTGGGGTTGAGGCAGACTAGGGTGACATAATCTTGGCCTTGAATTTCAGCAAAGGCTGAATTGCAAGAATATGGCAGATGGTTAATAACAGTCTGAAGGAGGCCTCTGGAGATGGCAGTGCCTACTGGAAACCTGGGGCTGTGTGGGAAGAGCAGGGCTCTTGAGAGCTCTCTGGCAATGTGTTCCTTCTTCGTTCTTCTGCCCCATCCAAAATACTGATCTCGCCTTTGTGGTCAATATGCAAACCTATAGCTATGAGGTGCCTCAGCATTCCCATTTTACACAATAACTGGCTTTGTTCCTTTTGGGATAAGAAAACTGGGGCTTAACATATGATTGGCGTATGAATTTTCCACTGCTGTGGAGGCTAGAAGTTGGTGTAGCAGTTGTCAGGACAGTGGCCGTCACTATTTACTTCAGCTGTGTAGTCCCTGCCCAGTGACTTCAAAGCTTTGCTGAAGCTCAGAGCATGTTTCTGCTAGTTTTTGTGGGAAATCTGCTGCCTCACACCATTAATTGGCAGTCTGCAGGGCTGCCCTCACAGACAAGGCGTGATGCTAGTGTGCATAAGACCTGCGATTGAAGTGGGAAAGCAAGGTGGAGAGCTGGGGGTGTACCTTCTTGCGTGTTCCTAGACTGAAACTGCAGTTTCAACAGTGAATCTTTTTTCAGTGGTGAATCTGGTACCAAACCTACCTGAAAAGCATTGTGGCTGGCTGTTGGCTGCGGGTGCCAAAGTTGTAACTAGTGCTGATGATTTGCTGTTGCTGTCAGTGATTGACATGGGGAGGTAAAATCAATCTTGGAGCACCAGTTAGCTGTTGTTTCACTAAGCAGGCAAAGGTAGAAGTTGCAGACAAAACTTGTGTTGAAAGTATGTTGCAGTGTGTCTGTGGTGGCTAATGGGCTCAGCAAAGGCCTCTGATAACAAGGGTCCTTTTCCCTTCCAGTATGCTACATTATTATTGGCTTCATTAATACAGGGTGCCTGCATTTCTGCTGCTTTTGGATGTAGTTTCTGGCTTTGGCTTTTTTTTTTTTTTTTTAAGAGTATTGGTATGGTACGGAATGATGAGTTGCTTCTGTAGAATTGGGCCCATCCAAAGCAAGCCCAGCTTGTGCACCATGTTTTGACATGCGAGATCAAGGGAACGGAGAGTTTCTAAGGGATTCTAAGTTTCTAATGGAGACCAAGGGAGTGGAGAGTTTCTTTCTAGAGCCCTGGTCTGCTCAGGCTCCTGTCTTGATAGGCCTATGTGGGTCTGTTGAGTATGTAGCTGTAAGAGTGATGGAAAGGGGCTGGGTGTGGCAATAAATGCCTTTGTAGATGCCTCCCTGCCCAGAGAAACCTTTTTTCTTTTTTCTAATTGGCAGTTGGTTTTTTCTATTATTAAAAATCTACTAAACTTTTTAAAAAAAAAAAAGCTATGGGTGTGTTGAAGATCTAAATTGTCCCCATCTTCAGCTTATTAGTGAAATTTAGCTTCTTGCAAAACAATCTGTTGGATGCATCATTCATACAGTATGATCCCATTCTCTATACACTTCTGAAGTTGTTCAAAAGACCTTGACATTCAGAATTAA